TACTCAATTTCAGTATTGTATCCTGTATTTTATCTGGCAACCCTACCTGGTGTGCCCGACAGATACTATAAATGCAAGCCCTTCAGAAAGGACATTATCACGAAGTCTTCACAAGGAGGAACAAGCCCTGCTGAGGGAGGGCTCACAGGCAAACATCCGAAAGCACACAAGGCGCAGACAATTCTCGAGGTTTTCTACCTGTTCATTCACCGAGCAAATACTTCTAGAACACTGTTCTAGATGCTGGGAAAACACAGGAGACAAAAACAGACAAAAATCATTTCCCTTGGGGAATATGGTCTAGTTGGAGAGTCAGATAATAAGCAAGAAAACAAAGAAAAATGTGTGCTGGAATAGACAGAGATTCACGCTGAGGAGAAGAGTAAAGAAGGAAAGGAGTGGAAAGTGTCCTGGAGAAATCTGCCCTTTTTAGACAGGGAGAGGAAGGGAGAGCTCATGGAGGGTGCGCTGCAGTGCAGGCTTGACAGAGGTGAAAGCAAGCTGTGCCGATGTCTAGCGGGGAGCTTTCTGGGAAGGGAGGGCAGCAAGTGCAAAGTGTGCCCCTGGCACGTGCGGGTGACAGCGGGAGCCCCGCGTGGCTGGAGTGGGGTGAACCAAATGGGGAGAAGTGGGAGACGAGGTCAGAGGGAGCACAGCAAGAGGGGGGTGCAGACCACGGACTCGCCCTGTCCACACAGTGGCCACACGTGGCTATCTACATTTAAATAAATGAAAATCCCACAAAGTGAAAAATCTATCTTCAGTCACTCCAGCCACAGTTCAAGTGCTCAACAGCCACACGTGCCAATGGCTTCCCTATTGAGCAGCTCGGAGAATATGTCCATTCTTGCGAAAGTTCTACTGGACATCATTGACAGAGCCTTATAAATCGTTGTGCAGGCTTTCGCTTTTACTGAGATGAAGATAACAGAAAAAGAAGATAAAATCAGTAAGTTTTAAATGATTTGAAAGTAGGAATCAAAGCCAAAGAAAATACCAAGACAGTGTAGGAAAGGGTGGGTTTGAAAAATAATCAGTAGACCTTCCAGAAGTTTTTTTTAATTGACATTAAAACCTCAGTGACTAAATTAAACAGCAGGTTAGACAGCAGAATTGGGAATTTGTAAACTGGCATATAATATGTAATCATACAATGCTTCTCGTGGGCCAGACAGTGCACTAAAAGCTTCATTTAATCTTCACAACAAGCCATAGGTGGGGGAGAGTCTTTTCTCCCCCAGGTAACAAGCAAGGAAACAGGCACAGAAGTTACGGTTCGTTGTCCAGGCAATCTGAAGTCTGTGCACTCAGTGAACTCAACCACTATGACATGTTGTCTTTCAGGAGTTTACCCAGAAGGCAGCACAGAATGATAAAGATGGAGAGTAAGAGATGAAGAGACATGGGGGAGAGAACGAGAAAGTCCAATGAGCATCCAGTGGAATTCCAGAAGGAGCGAATAAAGAAAACAGCAAAGAGGCAAGTGGTACTGGAAAGAAGGAGCTTTTCATCGTTAATAAAGATGAATCCTAAGTCTAGAAGCACAAGTCCCAAGGGAATACAGTTGCAGTCACAGCCAAACACAAAATAGTAAGATTGCAGAGTATCACAGGCAGAGTGAAAATCTTTAAAGCCTCTAGGGGAAGTTATTCCCAGACCAGGGAGAGGCTGGGAGAGAGACCCGAGGTGGGAGATGAGCAATCCGTAGTGGGCCAGGAACACAGCAGTGTGGGTTCAGAGAGGGCACTGGGTGACTGGATGGGCTGTGTTTATGGACAGGAACCACTGGCAGCACTGTATTCAACCCTCGCTTCTCGTTCGTTCGTGGGACTCAGCTCCTCCCAGATCCTGGCGAGAGCCTAGGCATGCGCTCTCTCGACTGGATTAAGTACAGGGTAAGCATTGCTCTCAGAACCTTAATAACTATTTGGGGCATGAATGAATGCAAGAGAAGCATTTTGAGAGTAGTGAGGTCCAGCTGGTGGCTGCACTTGGATTGCTGAACTGATGTGTGTATTTATGCAAGGCTGTGTGGTGGTGGTTCATGCAAGGCTATCTGTGGTGTCTACAGTTGTGCCTATACTATGTGATTTTGATTTCTGCTAAGAATCTAAAGCAGTGTAAACAACACAGGAAAACCTCTAGCATCCTTTCTAGATGTTTTCTAGGCTGATTGTAAATATTAGTGCAAGTGTAAATAAGTGATAGAACCCAGTTTCAGCAGCCTCTGTGGTCAGTGGAGTCGTTTGTCAGAGCAGATGTGTTTCTGCCACAGTTGAAAGAAGTGACAGAATCCAATCTTTGCCTCCCACTAGGATATGATAACATAGGAAAAAACAAAATTGTCTCATTCTCACCTCTTCATATATGCTAATGTTGCAAAACAATGAAAAAGTATTTTTCTGCTCTTATTCTCTAGTTTAGGCTTGGCTCAGCTGGGTGGAGCAGACGTTTCCACTCACCCATTCTGGGCCACACAGTGAGGCCATCCTGAGGAAGCGGTGTTCTGACGCCAAGACCTGTTTGCCTCTTTCTGTCATGATGAGATCATGAATACGGAGAATAATGTGATAGATGGACACAGCTCTCCCGTAAAGAAGTCTGTTCTTACGGACTGTCCAAGTCTGTTCTTATGGACGAGCATTTTAATGCAAAAATTACATGCAGCCCAAGTGTTTCCCAGTTAATTGTTATCTGTAAGTCCTGGAGGAAGACACACTCACATCCTTTTTACATGAGAGGAAACTGAGGCTCAGGGTTATATAATGACGAACTGAATATACAAATAGATCTGTAAATAAAAACAGAACTCTGCCCGGCAACCTATAGCAATAAGCATAGGAAACTAACTCATTGTCCACAGTAACCAGCCTAATGTTAAGTCGGATTTGTAGGAAGTCAGACCACTATTTCTGGTAACAACCAGGAAGCCAAACTAGAACGCCTGAAACAGTCCACCTCAGATGGCTGGGATTTGATTAACAACCCACAGCTTCCCTAATTTTTGTCCCCACTTCCAACGTAGGACCAACCAGAGGAGCCACATGTGCACCTCAGACCAAATACAGAGGATGACCCGCTTCTGGTTAATCCATCCTACCGCTTCCCCAGCCACCAGCCTCCCTGCAGGGCATACCTGAAGGCCTCCCTTTTCCCCACCACAAAGCATTCCCACTGCTCTGCTGCCTTTGAGTCTCTCTCTGCCAAAATGCAAGTGATGGTGGCCGACTTCCCTGCTTAACAAGTCTGAATAGCCTCCACTTGTTCCCACTTGGTCTTTCTTTATTTCCACAATAACTGGCCCGAGACCCCGCAGCTACCGTGTGGCAGATCTGGGTCTGGAACCACCACCTGTCCAACTCCAAGCCCATGCTCTTTCCACTGTACCACTTGCCCTTTTATGGAGCCTGAGCTTCCAGCAGGCAGGACACCAATGAGAGTCAGGGGCACATTGGTTTGGCAGAGTTTATTACAATTAGTATGCATAGAAAACAATGTAAACTCCACAAGGTAAATGGTTTAGCCTCCACAGTAACCACAGATGGTCTGCCGTGACCATCCAGCACCCTGACTATTTCAATATCTACATGTTTCACAGAAAGTCGTAGTCATACAAAAAGGATTATAATACATTTTTTTAGGGAAAGGAGTTTTTGGTCCACATTTTCTATTAAACAAGCATATACTTTCCTCTTTGGCAAAAGGTTAAGTCCCCCCCTACAGTGAACTCACAAAGCAGACTCAGATAAAAAGCACTGAACATGAGGTACAGCTAAGGTCTGGGCTAATCTGGACTTATAGATACATACTTAAGGGAAATTTTTTTCTTAAAAAATGTTGTTTCCAGCCAGCTCAGTAGAAAAGCTCTATGTAGATTTGGCCTCGGTCACTTTTGTAAGAACACACTTCAAATAACTTTTTTGTGTTTCAGAGTACAATGTGCTATTTCTGAAGAAAGTCATGAGAAAGTGTGGGCATCTGACCTCAGCAGTATTTTTACTCTGCGGTACAAGAGCATCTGACACAGTAATTCAGAGCGTAATTGCTGTGCCACCTTCATTCAGTTTGTTGAGAAAGCAGTTTTGGTTGCTATAAGTCTCAGCATCTCGCTTTACAGACAGTTTGAAAAGGCAAATTTGCATGTGAAATGAAAGCCGTATAGTATCTGCCAGGCCAGAGGTGAGCAAGAAGCAAAGTATGATGAAGGCCAGCTGCTCAGAGAGCCAGGTCCCTTAGGCCGAGGGCAGGGAGGTGCCCGCAGGCCACAGAGACCTCCTGCTCCTTGCAGGCCCTGGTGGGCCACTGCACACTCCCACCTGAAGTGGAGTCTAAGGAACAGGCAGCTACTGTGGTGGTTGTGTTCTGTTTGTTTGTTCTTTTTAATCTACAATCATAATTGCTAACAACCACCCTGGTGTGCTTTTCATGCTTCAAGTAATTTCATTCTTTCCAGGAGAAGAATGTTAACAATGCTTTTAGGTCTCCATATCAAAGGAAAGGAAATGAGCCATAATAGCAAGATTAAATTTAAACAGACCTGCTGCTAACACAGTATCAGATAAAATATATTTAAAAAGCAAACATACTATTATATACGTTTTTCCAACAGCTGCATTCTGGCACTTAACCTCTGTGCAGAACTAAAATCTGCTAAAGCAAACTTAAGTTACTTTAATTCTTGTTAAATACAACTCTGTACAGATTGCACATTTTACACCGAAGCAGCTCAGTATCACAGTTAGAGAAATGAAAATGCCATCTGAAAATTTTCATTTTTCTAGCCCAGCAAAAACAAACAGACGCTGGCCCTAAGGCTCAGAACAAAACCAGCTGCACAACTCTGTAAACAGTGTGAGAGGCGGTCTCTGCGACTCCACCACAGGATCCTATGAAATCGCGTACACGTACACACACGCACACACACGCGCGCGCATCGCCCTCCTTCCAGTGCGGCACGCAGCCTGGCGCTCAGTACCACAGCAGGTTGCTTTCACATTGTGTCACAGCAGAGCGGTCATGGCCGTCTGGTTGAGGGGTCTGAGGCAGTCCCTGGGGGCCGAGTAGGCAGC